CCAGAGGTTTTCTTGATAGCTTTCGGGTGTTCATGGTGAAGGCTAATGAGTTTCACTGGCATGTGAGGTCCTGCCTTTCATGTTCTGAGTATCCAAATAGGAAATCACAAATAAAAATGATCAGATCTGTAGCAGCAGTGTCTTACAGAAAGTTGATACTTTCAATCGCTAAGAAGCTTTGAAAGGATACGTTCAAATCTAATACAGAAGTAGCAAGAAAGCAATTTCTCCCCTTAACTTTCTTCCTGGTTTGTTTTACTGTAACATCTGTGCACAGGACTTTGCTTTCCTTCACTGAAAATTTCCAGGCAGCAAACTTTCCTCTCCCTGCTGCACTGAAGTCAAACAAGCACCACCAGCAGCCAGTATTGCAGAAGATATTGTTCTCATCGTAGGATCGTTACAGTAGCTCTACTGACTTGCATCACTGAGGGGAGATGAGGGAGATCTCTTAAAAGTTGTATTGGGCAATTGCATAACTGCTGGGTGTGAAAAGGGAGTAGCCTTTGTTTTAAATTCTTTCAAGATAGGAACAGACACTTTAATAGTTTTGACTGGAGAGAACCAACAGCCTCTAGCAGTCAGCCTGTAATGTTTTCTTTCAGTCAGAAGAGTGCTGTTAAAATTGTGTGAAACAGACTGGCTCTGCTAGCAGGGGATCCAAGTGTGCTGTCTGTTCCCAACTGCTGTGGTTCAAGTTCATACTCACCTACTGTGTTTCTAAGCACTTGCGACAAAGGAGCCTGATAGTGCCTAAGGGGTCCTTGCCTGAGAAGCAGCAAGGTAGATTTGTTTTAACAGTTAGTTAGCATGACAAGCTTCTTAAATAGTTAGCAAACTATTGCCAAAATGTTGAAGAACTTTAGGTTACTTCAGGATCTGTGAAGACCGGTGTGAAAGGCCTGTCAAAGGTTATAGACGGTAAGAGGGGAGCCAGGCTGCGAGTCAGGAGCACTAGGAGGTGCTGCTCCATTTCTCAGTGCATCAAGCAATAGGCTTGAGTCACCTAAGCAAGGTGAGTATGTGTGCTGGAGTTTCCTAACCAGTGTAAGATTTAGCTGTAAGTGCTTCATTTTTCTACCTTAGTAGGTGTTCAGCTAGCTCCTTTGTAGTGTCACACTTGAACTTGGAGATCTGTGTATGAAAGTAGGCAATGATATATTACAGAAATCCTCAGTAAAACCCTATGGCTATTTTTTTTTAAAACTCTGCTTCTGCTAGCTGATTATGCTCACTGCATTTGAGCTTTCTTGATACCTCTGTATTACCCAAAGGACTTTAGGGATTCCAGCAGTCTTATGTAACGACACTGGATCCTGTGGTCTCAAAGCTACTAGTTCAACTCTTGGAAAAGAGTTTTAATCCTAATTAGAGAGCAAGCAAATGAGACCTTCAACCACAAGAGAAGTTCAAACAAAAAAAAAAGATGACCTGATCAAGCTAAAAGATGAAAGTATTTACCCTTGTGATAAAAGCAACAAATAGCTTTATTCTGTAGGATGGTGAAGAGAATTGGTTTTAAAGATATTCTTCAGAATCGTGGTGATAAGATCGAAGTTTGTCTATACCTTGTACTGCATGCATTTTATCTGTAAAACTGGATGGTGCCTCTTGAATTAGTGTATATTTATTTCTGTGCATATTAGGACCAACAGCCTAATATCTGGGGGTGGTAAAGGACTTGTAGCACTTTAATGTAGTAGCTTTCATAAACTGGGAATCATTGATAGAATGCCTAGTGTTTTTAAAGTTGAATGGACTTCCTTTTATAATATATTTAAAATAAATTTTTAATGTGTTTTCTGAATCTGTGTATGCAGAAATGACTGTCCCTGACTGCTTTGCTCTGGTGATTGATTTTCTTTCTCTCTGCTTTTAGAAATAGCTTCATTACCTGGTCTGGTGTTTCTATACCATAGGATTCCTGACACAAGACACAGTGCTCTCCTCCAGCCCCACTGGGAAACATCCAGAGATGTCACCATTTCTTCCCAAAGCTCATTTCTATATGTCTCCATGGGGTAAAACTGAAAAACAGTGCAATAAAACGAAGGGGGGCAGCAGTATTGTGTGAAAATGCAGGTGTGAAGGTATGGAAAGGCTCTTCCTTTGGGAACAGCAGACGACTGCAAGGCAGACTCCTAGGGGAAGACTGCGCTGTGATTCTTGGCCATGGAAGCATTTCAGTGGGCAGTGCATGCCTATAGCTGTGGGAGTTTAAGCACCATAGCAGTGTCACCTTCAACTCAGTGTATGCCATCACGGAAATGGTGATGAGGGAGGGAACCTGTAGCACCACTAGTGCTGTGATTCTATGGGCCTCCAACACAGAGTGAATGGGAATACTCTGATTTCTGGCTGGAGGTGAAAAAAAGGCCATCTCAGGACATCTTTTGCAGCACGTACTCTTTGGGGAATAGTATTTCTGCCTCAAGAACCGTGAATGATGCCATTAAAACAGCAACTTCCAGATGACAGCTATACTGCAGACCTATCTTTAGAAGGTAGTGCTGTTCCAGGTAAGATTTAAGGGCCTGTGCGGGTTTCCTTAATTTCATTAGAGGCTGACTCGGGTGAGCAGGCTATCGCTGCTTCAAAGGCACTAAAGCTGCCTCGGTGCTGATGGGTGTATGAAACATTGTTTCTCACTTCATTGCAGTTCCCACAAAGAATTATTAGATCAGGTTAGTGATAGATACCTAATAAAGAATGGCTCTGTGAAGCAGTTTATTTTACAGCAAGCTAGTTCTGGTCCAGCAGGCTGTGAAATCTTCAGGTTCCCATGAAGATAAATATGCTGAAATAGACTGTAATTATATGAAGACCTCCACGTTCTTTTTTATGGAAGACTGAAAAGATGTGTCACTGCATTACCCTGAGCTGGCAGGAGCTAGCATTGAAATAGCAAACAGCAACAAGAGAAACTTGTTTGGTTTTTTTTCCCCCGTTAATAGATATTGCAAGACAACTTGAAAAAAAATAATTTGTTTCATCTGCATTGGGCTCAGGGTTTACATGAAATTTACAGAAATGAAATGCAGTGGGATGGTAAATACCAACCCGTGCCTCTTTCTCCAGCCAACTTCGCATGGAGGCATTCAAGGAGCACCTGCAGCATCTCCTTGCTGCTGGGACAGGAGGAAGCCGTGGCTGTTACCATTAAGTTCTCTTTTATCCGATTGCTTGCTGCTCTCGTCTTCTGTCCCTGCAGTCTGTGTTGGGAGTTTGTCGAATGCTGAGGCAGTCCTGCCTGACATTTGAGTTTTATTTGTATCATTAAGATAAAAGAAAGGTGCTATCAGGAAATCTAAGACCGCAGATGTACTGTCACTCCTCCGTGCTTCCCATTTCCTTGGTCTATGTACCAGCATACTGCTTCAGGCAGGCTCCCAAGCAATCAGGATGGAAGCTTTTATCAGTGGGGGCTTTTTGCTCCTCTAAGTTTCTTTCCTCTTCCTTGTCCACTTGCTGGGCTGCAAGGTGAAGCTGTTTCCACCCCTCCCCCTTGGAGTGGATGGGTCTGGGCCTGCTGTCCACAGGAGAGTGCACTGTGGTTCTCCAGTAGCTGTAGGGACAAACAAATTACTCATTGACAACGAAAACCAAGACAAGAGTCAACTATGGAGGAAGTGTAGTGAGACTGAGCCCTGCCCTTGAGATTTATTCTGACACACTTGGCGATGCAAGGGCTGCCTGGAACGTGTGTGTTTTAGTACTTTTGGGCTGTCTTGGAGGAAGGAGAGGCCACAAGTGTCAGTGTTGCTGTGTGGGCCTTTGAGGTATTTCACATGGGCAATTTCAGCCCAGCTCATCCTGCACTAAAGCGCGTTTTTCCATCTGTATGAGTGCTTTGCAAAAATATGTTATCCTATAGCACGTTGTTTCTCTGGTTGTACAAGAAGCCTCCTCAGGAAGATGGGATGACTTTCCGCTTCCCGTGCCCACTGGCAGTGTTTGCTGTGTTTGCTGCCTGCTGGCCTGCAGGTGACGGCGCTTCCAAAGTGACACCTTTACCAACATTCATTTCTTTGTGCATGTTTCCAGTCGGCCTGCCTGGGGAACATGCTTCCAAGCTCACTCTTCCCTCTCTCTCTGTTGTGTACTTAGAAATTATATGTATTTAATAATCTCCTAAAGGAACCTCAGTGTCGGGTGATGCCCAGAAAGCGTCAGAGTTATTTACGAGGGCAGCAATGCACGTTCAGCCCCAAATTTTCTTTTCCTTGGTGTTTTTTTGGTGCTTTTTGTTGTGGTGGTGGGGTTTTTTTTTTGTTTGTTTGTTTGTTTTGGTGGGGGGTGGGTTTTTTTGTTTTTTTTGTTTTTGCGGTGTTTAATTAGCCCAGCGCCCAGGCAAGGGCCGACCTGGGGAGCCGCCGGGTTTCGCCAGGAGGCATGGTTGCCTCCATGCACCGCCGTGAGGGACGCGGGCCCGGCGCTGAGGGGAGACCGCTGCAGAGGGGGGTGGGGGGGGGGCACCGCGGGGCCCTGGCAACGGCGCGCGCCCCCCTCTTCCCGGCTTTCCGGCTGCCGTACGAGAGCGGGAGAGGGGCGGAGCCTCGCTGTAGCGGCAGACGGACGGCGCTATCCCCCAATAGGATCACAGAGCGGCGGGGCTATGCCCCGCCCCCGGGTCTGGTCCACCCAATCAACGCCGTGCTTTCAGGCGGGGGGGCGGGACTTCCGCCGCCGGGGAGGCGGTTTTGTGTGTGTGAGAGCGGTGCGAGCGGGGTCTCAGCTTTCTCGGGGGGCGACGGCGCTTCTGAGCCCGGCGCGGCGCGGCCCGGCCTCCGCGGGCACCGCCGGTAGCGAGCGGCGGCGGGCGGTCCTTCCCGGGCCGCTTCGGGGGATCCCCCCCGCGAGGGGACCCCTGCAGGCGTGGGGGGCCCCGGCGGGCGGCGGGGTCCCCCCGAGGGCCGCTCGCTGAGAGGCGGCGGCGGGGCGGCGGCTCCCTCCGCGGCGGTCGGCTCCGCGCTCGGGGCCGAGGGGCGGGCGGGTGGGCGATGAATGGGTTCAGCACCGAGGAGGACAGCCGGGACGGGCCGCCCGCCGCCCCCTTTTACGGCCAGAGCTGCTGCCTCATCGACGACGGTGATCGCTGCGCGCGGCCCGCGGGCAATGCGTCCTTCAGCAAGAGGATCCAGAAGAGCATCTCGCAGAAGAAGCTGAAGCTGGACATCGACAAAAGCGTGAGTCGCGGCCTCCGGACGTCGCGCCTTCCCGGAGATCCCCGGGCGCTGCGGGGTGCGGAGCCGGGCTTGGTGCTCGGCAGCAGGCGCGGAATGCAGGCGGCACCGAGCCGCGGAGCGGAGGGCGGCGGGGTCGTTCGGGTTGGGCGGACGGGCGGCTGTGCGCTTTGGAGGCTGCCCTGCTGTTTTAATGCGGGTTTCGTGCTGGAACACGCTCGTGCTGCTAGGTGAGATAAACGGTGCGGATTGTTATCTCGAGTTAAGCGTAACCGACTCTGTTAATTAAGGAGAATGAATGGGCAGCCTGACCTCGTGGGTGGCAGCCCTGCCAGCGGGTGGGAACGAGGCGATCGTTAAGGTCTCTTCCAGCCCGTGCCGTTCTGTGATTCTGCGAACGCGATAGTGGAGCGGGTTACTTAAAAATAAACCATTGCATCAAGCTCAGAATGTGAGGTGCCTTTTAAATAGGGCGCTTGCACATGTGGTGGCTGGTTGGCACTGAGCAGCTTGGTTTGCTGCTGACTGCTTTGTGCCACGAAGTGACAGCTGTCAGCTGAAGATAGAAACGGGCTTGCTGGGCAGAGAATGCATAGAGCGGAGCAGTGGTGGGGGCTGCAGAGGGCTTTTCTCAGAAGTGAGGCTGTTGCCGGAAGTCTGCTCTGCCTGCTTTTCTTATCTGATCTCAGATTGAAAGCACTGAAAGGTAAAGAAGGTGAAGTTTCGAGTCCTTCATTTGGCAGCTTCTTCTGTTGCTTACGTCCCTTTTACACATCCAAGATACAAAATGTGATGGAAAGAAGGGGATCTCTGGGGTTTTAGGAATAAAATGTTGTTTCTGCTGGTCACAGGGTGCAGTGGGTTGGTTTGGTGGTGCAGGCACCTCGTTCTAGAAAGTAAGTCTTCATTGCTAAGTTAAGGGTTTCAGAGATAGAAAGAGGAAACCAGATGAATGAAGTGGGGAGTATGAAGTGTGCTGCTTGAAGGAGTTTGGCATGCAGGGTGTGTGCATCACTTGAAGATATTCTTATCTTATTGGTATCAAATAATTTTGATCATTTGTGGTCCTTTTTTTTGTACGTGTGCCACTTCTTGTGAGATAACTTCAGTTAAAATCCAGGGTCTGTGACGAGATAAGCTATGGCAAAGGGATACGTTTGCTGTTAGTTTGCCTCTTTTAACTGAGATAATTAGCCAATTTCTGTTTTGCCTAAATTAATAATCTCACTTACTGTTCAAAACAGAAAGTTTGCAAGGCTGGAACAGAGCAACATATTTCTTGGTAGCACCCTGGCAGTAATTCCTAAACAGATGCATTTCCTCCAGACAGTCCACTGTTGTTTTTTTCTCTGACATGTGATTACAACCATAAAGAAGAAATATGTTATCTGTAGAGGTTCAGCTGGAGCTCTTGAGTCCTTCATTTCCCTTGTTTTTAGTGTTTGTAGTGTAAGCAATCTTCCATGCCTGGGCTTTAAGATTAGAAATTTCTTAACGTTAGCCACGAGGAAGTAAGCAGGTACTCTGTAATACTGCTGGATGCCATTTTTACACTGCCTGTTTTGATTGCTTTTTTTTTTTTTTTACCACTTCTGCTTTTTAGGTGAGACATCTGTATATATGTGATTTTCACAAGAATTTTATTCAAAGTGTCCGAAACAAACGGAAAAGGAAGACAAGTGATGATGGAGGCGACTCTCCTGAGCACGAGACGGACGTCCCGGAGGTCAGTAGCTGCCAAGAGCTTGTAGATTCCTTAACCTTAACCAGTGTTGGGCCTGGTGAAATTTCACTGGAATATTCTCAGCACCACAACAACTGCTGTGAAGTTGCTCTGATTTTTTATTTCCAAGACTTAGCTGATGTGTGATATCCTGGTTTTCTTCGTCATCCCCGTAGGAATTCTCTGATCTTGTAAAGCTTGCTATAAAAAAAGTGTAATAATCTAACTGCACAGCTTTGTGTACGTACCATTTCCAAACAGGGAGCTGCTAGGCTGCTTTACCTTTTTTAGATAAGAAAACCTTACTTCCTTTTTTTGAAGCTAAGCAAACTGTATTTACAGAGGGGACTGGGGTCCTGATGTGGTTCTTTGTTAGCTAGCATGCATCATTTTGCAAAGACTGTAGAGTATCCAATCCATCTCTGTATGACTGGTGAGAACCAGAGATTTTAGGCTTCTGCAGACCTTTGTATGTCATACTTCTAGCTGCTTAAAAATTACATTCAAGTTATGGACTGTATTGGTAGCATTTATTTATTTTAAGGAGGTAGACAGATTTATTTCTGCGTTACAAAATGATAGAATCGCCCCTTTGTCCAGCTGTATGCAGTGTTTGCTTTTTGATGATTCTGGCACTGTTAGCACTGCATGAAGTTGAGCAAAGGTAATCGTGATGGAGGCCCTGAGTTCTGGCCGTGCCAGCAGAGCCCTCTGCTGGATGTGCCTCCCGTGCTGGCAAGGAGCGTTTCTCCTCAAAAGAAAAGTAAGGCATTATGCCAGCAATCCACACACCTGCTTGGAGGTCTGGAAGAAGCACTGAGATTTGTTTTTCCTTTTGAGGATACGTGAGCCTTTGTTGTAGCTGTTTGTGCTTCTGTTCCATCTGGTTTTCTGTTGGAACTTCACAATACTGACATCACATCAGTTACCGTAACAGCTGCTGAAAGCCCAGCTGGCATCCAGGGATGTTGGTGCTACAGCTTGTGTATGCTGTGTGCTGTTTTAAAACTGAGGGATGCTCATCATGTTACCACACATGGAACTGTGCAGCATGTTGGTCTTTATGTCATTTTTTTCCATTTATTTTTTGGGGGGGGGGGAAGGAGGGGAAGGAAATATGCAAAACTTCTCTGTCTCTGAAACGTGGCATTTCTCACATGATCTTCATCCTGCAACCTGCTTGTAAGCAGTGCACCCCCCACTGATATGTTTGAATTACGTTTTATCTCTGAGCTCTGTCTTATGTCACAAGGCATTTGTTCAGTGCCTGCAAAACTGGTATTTTGGATGTGAGCTTTTTAAACCTTATGGGAACAAAAGGTTTCCTTTTGCTCAGAGCTTGCGGAGGTGTAATTGATAGTAGAAATTGGCCAGCAATTCTGTTGACAGCATGTGAACCAGAACGAAATTCCGTATTTCCCTGAGGCTGTTTTAGTCTTTCAGCATTAACAAGTATAAAATAGATTTAGATTTGTCTGTAAGGCAAGCTGACGTGGTTCTGAATGCAAGCAAGGAGCAGCTCTGTTGATGAGGAAGTAGTTATTTTTAGATCACTCTGCATCTATGCTTAATAGATGCTAAAGTGAGCGCTCATCCCCTGTGCTCTGTTTCACTTCCAGGTTGACTTGTTCCAGCTCCAAGTGAACACTCTGCGACGTTACAAGAGACATTATAAGCTGCAGACCAGGCCTGGACTCAACAAGGCTCAGCTGGCAGAAGTAAGTGATAACGAGGTGTTAGTATTCTCTCTTGTTATTAAAATGCTTTTTGCTCCTATGCTGGAGTGCCCTTTTCTTGGATGCTAGTACTTGTAGTGACTAACGTGCAGCATGTGCTCCATGGCAGATCTGGGGGATGGTGTGAACAGAAAGCCGTGTGCTTTCTTTCACCCGGGGTGGTCATGGGAATCATGGGAGGTTGTTCTTAAAAGCATGTTTTAGTAACTTGCTTTTTCCTGCTTCCTTTACTTCTGTATTTATAGACACAGTCTGTTACCTTTAGAGAACATAGTTTTGACTGGCCTGAGTGTTAGCTGAAGATGGCTGTTTTTCTGAAATTAAAGCTTCCCCATTAATAGTTACCTTAAGTGCCCCTATTTTTTATTTCCTTGCAGCCACCTGAACTGCTTGAAATTGCCGATTTTTTTTTTAAGGCAAAATCATTGACCGTGACTTCAGATTCCTTATTTCTCTCCCTTGTCCCAATGTCTTATGATTCTCTAGTAAAGGGTTGGTTTTTTTTCCTTAAGGAAAAAACTCTACTGTTTCTGTCACACCATATTTATTGAGAAATAACTCCCTTGCAACTCTGTTAGTCAGAGTAGTTGTGCTTGACATGCATCTGCTCTTCTTTCTCTCCTAATGGGATCTGAAGGCATTCTCCAGGAAATGTCTTCTCCACACTTAGAGGAACTGTAGCAGTTACTGAGTGATAATGAGGTTATTTTTGTGAGCTGGAGTTTTCACAGCTGTCTTCCCAAAGACTGAACAGTTTTGCTATTACTTTAAAGAACAACCTAAAAAGACAGCAAAACACTTTCTTCTTCTTGCAGAGTCAGCTAGAGAATGAACGTAGAGAATATATAGTGTAGTGCACATAGGAGTAAGATTGTATGTCCTCATTAGTATATCAGATTTATATGTTATAAGTAACCAGTCTGCTGGTTGCCTCCTGCCATGAAGGACTGCATACTTAAGCAATTTACCATGCATATGCCCAGGAGGGGAAAGGAGAAAAAAAAAACAAACCTACTGTGCAAGCAGAAAATAACCTTAAAGGGAGCCTAACTTAAAGTTGTCACACACTTCCCAGATTTCCTGTGAAGTCTGAGCAGCTTTGACACTACGCTGGATCCTCGTCCAGCTCCCATGCTTGAATCACTGCTGCCTGAGGCTCTTAGACTCCTGCTGCTACCCCACCGTAAGGAAAATTCAAACTTCCATAAATCTTCTTGGAGTGACTTATTGCTCAGCCTGCATCAATATCCAGCTCTGGAGTTGTACTGAGAACCAAAAGAGCTTCTTCGATATAAGAAGCAGGTCTCGGCCAGCTCCGGTGTTTTCTACATTCATTTTCTAAGGGGGAAAAGAAAGCAGCTGTGGTTCAGGGCTTACACTCAAATCTGAGATGGGTAGCCTTAACTGAACCCTGACATTCCCATTGCAAATCCCCAGGGATTCCTTTTGGTGAAAGCTTACCCAGTGTATTTTCCCTTGGAATCTAAGACTTTACTACATCTGGTTCACATAGCAAAGTGTTTCAGTGTTTCTGACACCCCACCTTAAAATACTGAGATGCAGGAAGACTTTACTCTTCCAAATAATCTCGGCATGAAATGAGAATATGCTGCTTTGGCAGGAGGACTTTCTGGCTTTCAAATTCCGCTTGTAGGTTGGCTGCAAATACTGCTGACATGGCAAGACTGTGTTCTGCTCGTATGAACGTTCCAGCTGTAAAGAGAGAGACAGAGAGAGGTAAAGGAGGACTGACAGTTTGAATTGTGCATGTTTGCCTAGGAGTGTATTGTGCTCAGCAACCGTAAAATCAGCTTTTGGAAAACGCAGGGAACCCGGAGTTCTGGTTATTTCTGCTTTTAAATTCCCAAATTTCTGTCTTTTTGTATGTTGTTGTTCTAGACTGTCAGTCGACACTTCAGGAATATTCCTGTGAATGAGAAAGAGACTCTGGCTTATTTCATCTATATGGTGAAGAACAACAAGAGCAGGCTGGACCAGAAATCAGAAAGTAGCAAGCAACTAGAATGAAGAGTAACAAGACCTGGAATAGGAGAGATCTTGAAGGAACACGTGGTATTGTGCTTTTTAGATATATAAAAACTTTTGAAGTATATTGTAATTTTTTTTTTTCTAATGCAGTAAATCTGGAAGATGGAAAAGTATAGACAGTTCTTATCAGGAATATTTGAGAACATGTGCACACCATTTTTCTGAAGACTTCTCATTTAAAACTCACGTTGGAATAAAGCAATGACAATAACAAGGAAACAGAGTAAACTTAGGACTGCGGAATCTGTTAACGTTGTGTTCTAAAATCTTTCTGGAAATCTACATCTCAATGCAATTTAGGTCACGGATGGGGTTTTTTCCCCTGAATTCAGCTGTCTCACCAAACGCCATGCAGTTTGTTTTCATGCAGGACTGGAATAGCAGCAGAGATGAAATGCATTGTCGAGGTGCGTGGCTCAGCAGTTTGTCTGAAGCTTGCTCCCCACATACACGTGCTCTGTCTTGCCTTGAGGCAGTGCTTCAAGTCTCAAACTTCTATGAATGCTCCAGCTCACCAACTCTGCTCCACTGAACTACTCAACTAGACTGAAAATTGATTTATTTTTTTTTTTTTAATCTTCCCTTTCCCCCCCTCCCCCCAAAATGGAAGCCAAACAACTTTCTGGAATCTCTTTTTTCCATTTTTTTATTTTTTTTAATTTAAGAACTCACTTCTTAATTATCTATAAGCATTTAAGGAATTTTGCAGCTCCTCAGAATGTGGTATCAAGGCAAATTTGCTGGGAATGATCATGTTGGTAGAAATGCTCTTTCACTTCACTTCTGTCTGTTTCCCTTGTATTCAAGACTTAATGATAGCAGGTGAAACAGTGGGTTGTTAAGACGTCCGTCTCTTAAGCTCTATGCCAGATCAGGTATCAATCAGAAGCAGTGTGACTTTTATACTGACGCTGGTCTTTAACAGGTGTCACAAAACTGCAGTGTGGGTCAGTGTGCTCTGCTTGGTGTGAATCAGACTTCAGCTAATGGATGTAGCACAGTAACCAAGGCGATGAACTGGCTGGAGAGTGGTGCATTTCATCTGTCTCTGTGAATGAGCAGAAGTATGAAAGCACTTTTCTCTTGTGAGCGTTACTTGTGCTTTGCTAAGAGTTCTGTGACCTGGAGGGTGGATTGCTGGTGCTCACAAACAGTGCTGTAGACAGAAATATCTCTGGTTTTGTTATTTAAAGCCAACGTGTCCTTATAAACAACACAGTAGTTATTTTGGCTAAAGGAGCTGATGAAATTGTTGGTCACGTCTGCCTGCTCTCCAGTGACCTCAAGTTCTATACAAGGGGATCTGCTGTAAAGCACCGCTCTGTGTTCATGCTGTCCTAACCATTGTCTCCATTCTGTCGCAAGATGCCAAGACTCCACACACAGAGTATATTCTCAACAAGCCTTAAGCACTGAACTCAACAGTTGAAAACATTGGCTAGCATTTTAGTCACCCGAATCTAGACCATGCTGTGTTGAAGAACAGAACACACGGTCGCAGTCCCAGCTTGACGCTGCGTCAGATGTTTTGTAAGGCACGAGTGAAGCTCTCCCAAGGTCTCTAAAAAATCAAGTCACAATTTAAAGCAAGGTGTCCACATCAGCTTTGAATGGTGTGCTAAAAGTCTAAGGAGATGTTAAATGAGCTTCAGCATGTATAAGTTCTGTGTCATAGCCAGACGTAACCTGTTATGCTACGTGCCCCAGTTGTGAAGTTTTGGGAGCGTGGTGATTTCAGCATTTCCTCGTTCAGTTTGGTGTGAAACCGAAGAACATGGAATAGAAGTGCTCAGAGAATGAGGAGAGAATGTCAAGTACTGGTATTTTGTGAATGTCTCAAAATTTCTGACTTATGGTGATCCTTACTGGAAGGATGGAGCAGCTCCCACATCAGTCAATGAGATCTGGCTTCTCTCATTCAGGACAGATAGCTAGAAGGGTATTTTCTCTGACTGCGTGTTAATATTCAAAGTGCTCACGTAGTCAGAGGATGTTATTAAGAGAAAATGAGTTTCTGAGTTGAGAGTTATGCCTCAGTGTAACTTGTAGACCAAAACTGTATAAAAAAAAAAAAAAAGTGTAGTTTGTTTGGGGTTTCTTGTTATTTGTTTTATTTCTAGGACTAAATACATCTGTTGGGGTGTTTTAGCAGCCAGCAGCAAAATGATTCTTTTTGAGGAAATATGGTGGCAGGTTCCATCTGTTCAGGTGTATTCACTGGAATGCTTTATGCAGAGGTGGTATCCAGGAATTTGTTTTATTTTATTTTTTTTCTGAAAATAGTCAATTGATGTGAAATGTGATCCTTGGTTTCGCTCTTAAGCAATCATACTTTTTTGGAAAACTAATAATAATAGTGATATGTGATGATGAAGTGATGTTTACCAGCCATTAGCAGTTGTTTATAAGGTGGAAGACTTAGGGGCAAGATACCAAAAACCAACCAAACAAACAAAAACCCCAAAAGAATCTTTGGCTGTCAGACCCCATAGCCTTATAAATCCTTGCGAATGCCTTATTGCCTTGTTCTCAACTTAGCTAGAGCAAAACGCCTTGAGCAAATGAAAGCTGATGTCTTGTTGGAAGGGTTGGCCACTTTCTGGCTGCCACGCTATAAACTGAACTCACATGTCAATTCAGTAGCAATATCCATGTTCAGGGTGCCTGTGATTCTTGAAAAGCATTTAGTGTCTAATAACCAGAGAACGCAACAATGCAATTGTCATTCTGTACAATACCATTCTGTGTATCTGATTCCTTATGCTGCATGCCAATTAAAAAACTTTCCAACTCTTTTTTTTTTTTTTTTTTTTTTTTAATTTCAAAGTAAATGTGTTTGAACCTCACACTTATGAAGCCATGAGGTTTTCGTAGCACTTTTAGATGAGACTTGTTGGAAAGGCGGAAGACCCAGATGGCTTTGGCTGGTATGACATCTGGTGGGTGGTGGTGGTTGTTTTTTTGCCTCTTTCACATTTTGCTTTTCACAGTTGGGCCTTAAATTCTGTCTAGCTTTGAACCATGGAGCACAAGCCTTGGGGCATGGGGGATGACCGTATGTCATTCTCCATTTATGATAGAGTGGAAGCTTATTTCTTACAAGCCTGCATAGGAGATGTTCACCCAGGGGTAGAGAACTGTCTTTGAAGCCCTCCAGCCATTACCTAGCCTAACTCAATTCCATAGCCTAATTCAACCCTTGTTGAAGAGCTGCATCAACTTCATTAGACCTCTGATCAGATCCAAATCCATTAATATGAAATCCAAATAATGCAGAAACATCTCTACCAGAGTTAATTTTATCATGTGTGCAGACCCTCTGCTCTCTTTAAGGGAAGAAGAAGAAATAATTACTGGTAGCTGTTGGCTTGAGCTCCACTCAAGGGAGTTTGAAACGTGAAGAGTGAGGTCAGCAACAATCTGGTGGCTGAGAAGTGCGTGCATTTCCAAGGAGGCTGGGTTAGAATGAAGTTTTTGTAACACTTTGCCTCACAAAGAGTATTGTATATCAACCTGAAGTAAGCAATTGCATTAAAAGCTGATGTTTCTTTTGACAGGCACTTTAGATGTTCAGACTAAAAAGCAGAGAGGACAGGCTTGCACTGCTTGGCCCCAAAACTCTGGTGTCCCAGTTTTCCTCAGAAGTGTGGCTGTAAACCACCAGATTCCATGGTGTACAAAGTTTGATCTAAACATGTTGTCTGACATTTTAAAGTTGATCTTACGTACAAGAAGATCGTGAGCCAAAATAATCCATAGTAAATGCATGCTTTCAAGCACATCGTGATAGCAAGGAGAAAAAAAAAAACAACAGGACACAGCCCATGTAAAAGGCTGAGCAAAACACGCTTCCACAGTTAGCAAGGTGGGGGAAGACTCTTTCTGTGTTAACTCTAGTAATGGATGTTTTATGAGAGGGGAAGGAGGGGGAGCTGTGCACTTTACGTCTTTTGGTTGAGCCAAATGTAAATACCAATGGGAGATCTTCAGCAGTAACTGCAGTTGGAGGGAAGAGAAATGGTCTGCTGGAGGACTGTTTATTTAAATTGGCAGATCATTATACTTCCCTAGAGCACTAGCGTCACTTTGCTTCTACAGTTTAACAGAGTGGGTGATAGGAGGTGGTCTCCCTACCACAAGGAGTCCTTGCACTGCCCACAGCGTCGACTGCAGAGTCCTAAAGGTGAAGGAATGTTATTGATGCCTCACTCCTCTTGTCACTGATGTCCTTTAGCCATCTCTAGCTTACCAAGTTAGGGGAGATCTCATTTTCCACTTCCAAAGCGCAAACAGTTAGGATGTAAGATGCTCCTTGCACTTCTCACAGCTGTCCCTGATCTCGTGTTTTTGACTTGGCTGTGAGCACGTCTGTTAGAAATGCATGAAATGGTTGAAGAAAATGTGGGGAGTAGTGGGGGGCTTCTGCCTTAAACCCAAACTTCCCTCACAAGCATCTCTGCAGGCCATGCTGTACACCTCCAGCATCTCCCAGCTGCACCCTGGCAGAGTTGGGTTGGTTCCTGTCCTGCCCAGCACTGGGTGCAGGGGAGGTGAACAGCAGGTAACTCACAGAATGGCTTGGAGTCTTTCAGTGGCTAACTGGGAGAGGAAAACTGTGTTCTCTCTTCTGTTTCTGGCCTCCATGTGTTGTGCTGATATTATGCCAAATGTTTTGGACACCTTGTATTTTTAACTGTGTAATATAGCTGTGTATTGTTAAAGCTACTTAGTAACTTATAGCAAAATTGTAGAACTCATTTCTCTGAGGTGTAGGAAATGTCCTGCTTCCACTGTGTATAAGACTATAAATCTATACTGTCTGACAGAGATGAAATGCTGAATTTCACTTTAATAAATGATCTATCTAGCAAAAAGGCCTACATTCCCTTTTGTATTTGCTTTTCTTCTCTTAGCATTTTCAGCTCCAGAAACAATGGCACTTTGCTTTGCACGGATGTTTTGTGGCAGGTGTTTCTGATTCACTGCCCAGATGCTGAGGTGGGTGCTGGTCCAGAGCAATGCTAACGTGTAACGTCACAGTGTGAATCAGCTAAGCAGAGAGATTGTCTTCCATGAAGAGCTCTGGTTCATTTCATTTTCCTGTATTGCTCTTCATCCTGACCATCATCCTTGTAAGCAAAGACAACTCCTGTGTTTTGCTTCAGTAAGAATTGAGTTATGGCAGAAGTTGTGGCTGGAATACTTGTTCTCCTGAAGCCTGTCGTGGCATCTCCTAAGTTTCTGCTGGTACTGTCTGAGGTATGTTTTAGCCTTGATTTTTAGCCAGGAAAGACATAGCATAGCTTTTCAGACACCTGGAGTATCACAGAGAGGAATGATAGAAAGCTGAGAGCTCAAAATATATTACTTGATTTTTTCATTGTCGAGTTAAATGACTCTGATGTGCAACAAAATCAGTGATCAGTAATTGTTTGAATCTAATCTCTTAGCTAAAGGCAGTCCGTTACGCTGGGAGGAACTGAGCTGGCACTGCAGAAAAGTCCTTGTGTCCTCACTGCCTGTGTTTGGGGACGTCTGGAAGCCTGAGAAAAGATTCAGGATCTTTTTGCACGCATGGCAGCATGCTGCAGGAGTGCTGGGGAACCTTCAGTTGGAGAAGACAAGACCAGAGGTCACAAAGAGCAGGAGCAGAAACTTAGCAGGACGTCACCTGCATGTTGCCAAGCATTTCTAGGAGGTGTCGGGGAAAGGTCTTCAGGTGAGGACGAGGACAGCAAACCCCAATGGAAAGGAAGAAGCTGCATCATTTGCATTCCCAAAGCTGTGAGCTTGGAGTCTGCCAGCACAGCAAGGAGCTGGTGGGGGAAAGGCAGCAGGGCTGAAGGGAGAACAACTTCAGACAGCAGTTCTGCAGATGCCAACTTCAGCATGCAGGGTATATTGGGAAATCCAGTGCTGGAAACAAACTGCTGATGAACCTGCAGCTTGCACAGATAACGCTGCTTAATCTCGTGCTGGCTGCTCGCCAAGCAGCCCACGGTTTTCATGCTCCAAACACCAGGGAGGAATCCACTCAGTCTCTTTTTCATGTATTTACACTCAGAAACTGCAGCGAGCTGACTGGGCGCCCTGACCGGCACCGCCTTGTCGCCTGTGCTCCCAGCTGCCGTGCGAGGGCAGTGTTGGCTCGCTGTGCTGGGTGCCCATGGCCTGGGGGTTGCTCCCTGTCCCCAGGATGGCTGCTGGGCAGGAGCTGGCTGGGCTTGTCAGATAGTGGAAGTGGAGTGATGCTGCAGTGGGATGTGAAGACCATGAAAAGGGTTGGTTTGTTGGTTTTGTTTTGTTGTTTTTTTTTCCCCCTGCTGGAGATTGAAATTGAACGTGTCTGATTGTCTGTGTGAGCCCTCCTGCAGCCTCCTTGCTGTGCTGATGGAAACCAGGCTCCGGTTCTCTGCTCCTCAGCAGAAAGGGCAGCACAGAGGACTGGGGAAAAATGCAAAATACGTTCAATGGTTTTATGCTTTGGAGATGTGATTGAGCAGAGTGGGCTGAGGGTGGAGGAAGAGCCTCAGGGCTTGGGTTTGCTCTATTTTTTTCTTATTTTTTAATTTATTTCCTTGTATCCAATAAGAGGTGACTGCAGCTCTGCCAATGCTGAATCTCACTTTGCCAAGTGAGATCTCTTATCCTTGCAAGCAGCCTTGGCTTCTTTCCTAAGTACCTCAAAGCCCCCTAACATGCTTTTACTTAATTGTTTTTTGAATGTTTTCCAGGATCTGCTTCCTCAGCAGAGAGCACCAAGATGGAAGCACAGCTGCCCATGCAGGGGAAAGCAGTGACTGCAAGGCAGGTGAGGAGGGAAGAGTTGGCTTGGGGGGTTGCTCCCCTGCCACAGCTCAGGGCAGCAAGGTCTGGGGGCACAATAATGAATCCCAGCTGTGGCCACAGAGAAGACTGAGCACAAGTGTCTGAGCGTTGCCTGCAGTGTCTCCTCCTGGCCTTGACACCTGTGTGGGCAAATCTGCCTTGTTCACAGGACAGGGGAGGAGCTGGGTTGCATCCCACAGTGGTCTCGTTCACAGCACAAGTGAGTGTCTGGGTCTTTGTCTCTATCCAGTCAGCCCTGGAAGGATCTGTGCCCACCAGTTTGATGTTCTCATTGAGTCAAACCTACCTTTCTAATGGAAGGAATTCCCCCAACATCCTCTCCACCCCCACCCCACCCCCAATAATTTCTACCATTTGCTGCATGTAAGCTCTGATCCTCACACAATAAGCTGGGCTGGGGTGCAGGAGCACTTGGAAGAGGAAAGGTGAACAGCTGAGGGAGTTTTTGGTTTGACACGTGTCATGCAGCAGGTCAGCACATAGAGCTGCCCAGCCCCTCACGTTGGGATGCTGCTCCCAGCCAAGGCACTCCAACCAGACTGCTCCTGCAGGTCAGTTATGGGCCATGAGAACTTTTGTCAACGTAGCTGCAGACTGAGAAAAAAAAATCCCTTTTTCTTCTCGATTCCTCTCCTTTCAGCTGCTGGTGACACCATCAATTCCCCTGGTTCTCTGCTTACTATAAAATCTTTCGGGGTGGTCAGGACCTGAATTCCTCATGCAAAAGAACAAACAGGCAAAAAAAAAGGGAACTTGACAAGTAAGGATGCTTGCTTGGAGAATACTTACTGATCCCCACCCCGAGCTTGTGAGTGTTGTGAGAGCAGTAAATGTGCACTTCTCCCAGCTGGAAATGGATCCTTCGTGGGGTGAAGCAATACAGGTTGGTGTTGAAGAGGTGTAGGGTATGGGACTGCAGTTTGTCCATTGTGCCAGGGATGCTCTTGGGAAGGGTGCACTGCTCTTGGTTTTCTTCCAGTGCTGTTGGCTGTATGGGGAAATGCAGCCTGGGTGGATCACAGTGCTGGTGGATCCAAGTGGGGATTGTCAGAGGGGTGCAAAGCCAGAGAGTGTGGATTTATTTAAAAATAAATAAATGCAAGAGTGTTCATCTGCCTCCTACCTGCAGTGTCACCCTGTGCTTGGAGGTTGTGCCTACAGGCTATGGTTTGGGAACAAGTCTTCTCTTTAGGTGGGTCTCCAGTCACGTGGCTCTGCGAGCACGGAGATTCAAGGGAAAGCATTGGGAGCATTACAGCTGAGGGGCCGTGTGCTGGACAGAATCCTTCCACCTGAGCAGTCCTTGCAGGAGACAGTCTGACCCGGGAGCCGGCAACTGGGCTCAGCGGCTCCGAGTGTTGGGTGAGGATCAAAAAGCTGCCCCAGCTGTAAATCTCTCACCTGCCATCTTCCTTACTGGAGCTTGTGGCCATTCCTCTGAGGTCGGCCCCGGGTCAGGATTTCTCCTGTCTCTTTAGCCCCCAAACCTGGAGATTTTTGTCTTATCTTTGACGCCATCTTGACACCGAAAACAAATTATGACCCAATTACCCCTCCCAAGAGGGGCTGGGGCTACCTTAAATGGCCACAACTGTCAGGCGCTTCCTTAAGAGCAGGTCATTACTGGGGTGCAGGCTGGGGAGGGGGCAGTGACAGGGTGAGGGGGGAGGAAAAGGGGTAAAGGGGACCCTCCCCTTGGCATAGGGTCCCCTCCTGCATGGAGACATCCCATCCTGTGCTGGCCGAACTGCATTCGACCTGCAGGCCAGGGCTCACTGCTGGTGGGTGCAGGCTGCATGGTACAGGGGCTGCCCCCACCCTGCCCTGCATCACCATCCCCATCACCCTGCATCTGCCCTGGCCCTGGCCGTGACCTTTGCGGGGAGCTGCTGCTGGGGCTGGGGTTGACTCTGCTGCAGCGCAGGTCACCAAAGCCCTGAGTTTTTAAAAAAATCCTTTTGCTTTTTCTCTTTCAGTGCTCTCAGAGCACAGCTCTGCTGCCCCGTGTGCCCATGTGCCTCTTGCTGGAGGCTGCAGCAGCGCTGAGCTGAGTTCCAGCCTGCTGATGCTGGCTACAGGTACCCCATACATCTCCCTGTGCTGTGCCACTGCATCGGTGCCGTTCCCCTTCCCACACTGTGCACAGCACCCCCTGATCTCACTGTTTTGCTCCAGGTCCCCTTTTGCTCCTGGCTGAGCTGGGGTTGGGGCTGCAGTTGGGTGTTTCTTTCTTACTTTTTTTTTTTTTGTCAGATTGGTATTTTATTTGGCTCCATACTGTCTACTGAGCTGTCCAGCGTAACCCTTCCGTCGCTGCTTCTGAGATAAGAGCGGGCTCCCTGGAGATCAGATAAACAGGCCCATAAATACCTACAACAACAAGGAGCGGGGCAGAAATATGCAAAAGGACGAGAGGACTCTTCAAGCCCCAGAGATGCAGGGATGGGGTGAAAAGGACCCGACAGCGCTGCTGCCCAACTCCTATCCCTGTGTCTGGTCAGGGTCTGCTCCGCCATTCCCGGTGGTTGCATCCCAGTGGAGGCACTGCAGCACGTAGGGTGCTGCCCCGGGGCGTTTGCTTCTGCCCGAGCTGCCGCAGCCCCGTGCTGGGAGCTGTCGTGTCCCAGCAGCACCAAGTTCACGGCAGGGTCGAGTGGGAGGTGTGCCATCAGGTGGCCAAAAATGCAAAGCTGACGGCCCAGCTGCCACTCGGTACGTGTTGCTGGGTGGGAAAGGGGATGCTTGAGGTAGGAGCTGCACGCAGCTGCCTGCCCGCTGTCAGGATGTCCTGCAGCTGCTGTTCCCCAGCTCAGCAGTCCCTGCACGCTGGGCTGCTCACACACACACACCACAGGAGCACAGGAAACGTGTAGCATTTGTTTTTGTGATCTAATCTCACTGAAAAATCTCCTTGCTCTGGACGTGGAAACAGAGAGCATTTTTACTCGGAAATCCGCAAAGACATGAGGGAGGTGTGCATGGCAGTGATGTCCCAGATGCTGTCTGCCAGTAGGCACTGCACTCC